CACCGACATGAAAAATATTGCAGAAATATACAAAATAAAATCTAACTGGAAGCGATATACAAAATAAAATCTAATTAGAAACAAAGTGACACTTTCCTTATAATGGACTTAATGGTATGCCATTATGGTCTGTAAAATATATTTCTTCTTGGTACCAGATATGGTCTCAAAACAATGGCACTTCAACAAAATGATCTTCTTAAATCTGTGATCTTGCTCTGTATTAATCATTGTTCAAAAGGCCTTACTATACCAATTTATTCCTCTGTATTGACTTTAGTTTATTTCATTTTGTTCTTCGTGCATTTCCATTAAGTTTCCTTTGATTAATGAGCTACTTTAGAGATTTATTATAACCAAAAATATACCAACTAAAGTTAGTTTGCTTCCCGTTTGTATTGACGCTCACCGTATTCCCTCATGTAATTGACCTGCTGCGCCGCCTAATCATCATGCGTTTCACCTGATCTGCCCTCATATAAGCGCTTGATTTTTCACCTTTCAACGTGAATTAGTGCTCTGACTATCAGTACTACCTCGTCAGATAGAACACCAGTATGCAACGGCAATACCAGCACTTTTAAATCTCATTACTTTACCGATGTTCCATCTGTGCTGTCCTACAGGGTAGGACGGTTCTGACTAGCACAGATAGTCAGAACACAGGTTTAACACTGAACTGATGGTGCGGTGAAGCTGCGCCAAGAAGCTAACAGAAAAACTGAGAAGAAAAGTTACCATAGTTACAGTTGCAGCATGTTTTAATGTTACACACCTCAGTTTTTAGCAAGTAGCTCAAAGTCTAAACTGATATTGTTGTACATATAAGGTGTAAAGTTTACCTTCGAATAAACGCCCCCGAAAGGAATCGCAGCGCCCCCTTTGGTAAATATTTCTGCCAGCCCCCCTGCCGTCCTCTGACCGCCCGCCGTGGGGCGGTACTGCCACGGTTGAGAAATGCTATGCTACACAAACTGTTCATGTAGAGTTGGATTAACTTGATGTAGGATAAGAATAGGATAATTTACTCGCTACAGCCAAGTAGAAACAACTTCACTAAACCAAGTTAAATTAACCTCACAATTAAGTTCATTCAACAAGGTCTTAAGTACACTGAACAAGTATACAAAATATCAGATTTATATACACTTGTCTTGCTGATGTGTCCTTGGGTACAGCTTTAGATCCTCTTTTTACCAGATCACACAGATAAGTTTGTAAAAATGGACAGAGGCACTGCTGCAGATTACAAACAGTTTATTGAATTCACAAATGTTTCATGTGCAAAAATAGTCATTTTTTATTATACCAAGTGACCACACTAAAAGTGGAAGTCTATGCTGGCCCTGGGATCCTTAAAGCTGAAAAATAATTAAAATCAAATTAGATAAAAATTTGACTGTTTGGGGGAGGAATAATAAAGAAAACAAATACAACTAAATGCACCCCAGTGTTCCCCAACAAAAGCACTCACAAAAATCCCTAGTGAATACAAAGGAAAAAAAAAAAAAACTCCCCTTCCACTAGTCTCCTCAATCCAAATAAAACAGCCTAGGACCCGATTTAAAACAAGCCAGCAGGCTACAGTAGAAAGTCTCTTTCCCTAAACAAAACCCCCAAAAAAGAAAAGTTATTTTTAAACAACAATAACCATCTAAAAATAAGCAAACTGAAACAAAAAATTGAAATCAAAAACTGAAACGGTATCAGGCCAACCTACACACAAAAGAAATCAAGTTAGACAAGAACATTAACCAGCCAGATAAATCATAACGGCCCTTACCTTCTCTAAAGTGAAACCAGTAAATGTTGCACTTGACGTCACTCTCTAAAGTGCGTTTCCTACAACAATCAGTGGCAGAATCAAACATAAATTCTAAACTCACTTCACAATCAATGTTAAACATACCTTTGCACAAGTCATCAGCCTGCATCTGATCTCCTCAGCGATCTACCCGCTTTTAAATGTAAATGGTGATTACCTGTCTCCTTAACAAGCCAGCTGCGCTGTGTCACAGCGTCTTCCATATATGGACAAGAGGAAGAGGGCGCAGCAGCACACATTCGGGGGAGACAATATGCCCCGGCTACATTGATGATGCAGCAGAAAATTCCAACATCTAGTTTTGTGTTCGGTGCATCAGTGAGGTAAAGATGTTTTGAATCAGTTTTCTTTTGTGTGTGTGTTTCTTGCAGTCAAATACAGTATGCACAAAACATATTTTACAGGATGTAAGAAAAACAAAATCCAACAAAACATTTGTACCAAAGCCATTAACCAGACAACAAATGATGTCAGTCACTGGGTGTGCTCATGTATCCACCTGCAAAATCTCTGGGAGTACTTTGCCGGCCTGACAGTAGAAAAGACTCTGCCAGGGTAGCGAAGGTTCTTCCACAGGTTCTCCAGTCTTTTCTTTATACTGTAAACAGTGAAAATGTCCACTATGCCCACAAAGTAGCGCCACTCTAATCCATCAATCACATGAACTGCATTTTTGAAGTTTGGCAATAGTCTTCGATGATGTTCGTGAAATTCCTGTAGTTCTATAGGACACCCTGTATCTTTGGGAGGGCTGTTTATCTCCTGGGCTAGAATCTCTTCACCAGCATCCTCAGCGGCTGCCTGATGCTGACCTGGCACACAGCCAGCACCGTCTGGTACTTCCTCACTCCGACTCCGTAGTAGAGGAACACTGGAGGGCTCTAATTGGGTGGGATCATCATCTATGTCCAGAGACCTACATGAAGTAAAAAAAAGAAAGAAAGAAAACTGTTAGAGATTCTTGTTAAAATATTGTTCTAAGAAAAACACGACTTGTAGTGACATGCTGGTTTAAAATGACTGAGAAACACAATAAATCTCACTAAAGCAGCTCTGACCAACAAAATTAAGTCAGATTTAAGAAATGTCAAGATTTTACTGGAATCAATAGAATATTAGTATTGGGGTGGTCGTAGCAAACCATTTGGAAACAAGCCTTACATTAAGTAAATACTATTTAATTTTAAAACATAAGAATGTTTTTTTAGAGCTCTCACACTCTGCATTCAGGAAACTCCAACTTTCTCAATGCCCCATCACTATGGAGACTCTCTGCTCTGAGACACCTGAAGTCCCCCTTTTTGTGATTTTACAATCTCCTGGTAATTTTCACTCAAGGTTTACATGCAACAAAGCAGCAGAATACTTGCTCATTAACTGCATTAAAATATTATTTTAGTATTAATTATTTTAATTGGGTGAGGAGGGGATCTGTCGAAACTCAGGTATTTTGACACTAGATGTCATCATTAAAATCTAGAACAGTCACATGGATTTTTTCACATGAGACCAATAACAATCCATTACCAGTCTGCTTCTGTTTTTCAATATTTGGCTTGGTTTTCACAAATGAATTAATATAAAGGAATTAATATTACTACCAGTTTTCATTGTGTCATCGGTTATTGACATTAGGAAAAATATTCTGCTTGGAAAGCTCTGACATAAATCAGATTTTTGAAGGAATAGTAGGTTACTTTTGCACTTTGTTGGTATTTTACAAGAGGAAAAGCTCCTGGTTGTTTGAAGACTAGGTTTTCTTTTCTTGTTTTAGATTTAGATACAGTTACAATTTGGAATTTCTTGTTTGAATATAGATAATAATTTGTCCATATTTATTTTTGCACTAATAAGCATCAAGTGTTCTGGATTTAACTCTTTAAAATAGACCTAACCATCATACTACTGTCACAATGTTCCACAAACTCTGTTTGCCCCAGTCTTCCAAATCCTTCGTGTTTCTTGTTGGGGGTGCTCTTATCATTTTGTTTACTGCAGATGTGACTTTTTCTTTCTCAGAATAATTTATTGTCTCCTGTATTTGGGCTTTCATTGTCAACCTGGAGAGGCAATTTCTGGGTCTATGGAAGATCAAATTTATATTTTTTGAATGCTTAAATGATTCAAAACTTTAAGAACCTACTTTGTGGTACGAATGACAAGGTCAGCGAAAGAATGCTTGCCCTCCAGCTCATCTTGATGCAAAGGTTGCTGGGCCAGCAAGAGACTGTAGTCCAGCACATTAAGATCTTGGAGAAAAGTGGTGTCTGCTTTCACTTGTCTCTCAAACCAGGATTTTTCTGGACCTACAAAAACCACAATAAATTTCAACTTTACATATATCTAGTTTCCATTCCCACTCACCAACAACACTCTATATTCAAAAGATGTCAAGGCCAAAATTAGGACATATTTTAAGAAAAGGAGAGGGGTAAAGATATTATGTATTATGGTACATTGTGCCATCCTATAGTTCAAACTAATAACTATGAAACTATGCAGTATATAGACATAACGTAAACAAAATTTGACTTTATAATTTGACACTTTGAAATTGGTCTCTGTCTCTTTAAGAAGCTCCTGTTCTTTCCGACAGTCTTCAGCACCCCCACTGCAGCTAATTCAATGAATTAGAATGTTAAGTATATATATTGACTTGTTTTACAGTGAAAAGGAAAAACATGGGATGAACCTCAGGACCACTTAATTACCAGCACAACCAATTAATCTACATCAGTGTTTCTCAATCATGTTATAGGCGTTTCAATTCTGCCACTACCTGATTTCAATAAGTGGGTGATTATCAGGCTTCTGCAGCACTTGAGTGCAGAGGAGGTCATGCAGTCTATAGAATTGGGTGTTCTGGAATAGAGATACATCTAATACACACAGGCCAGGGGGGCATGAGGACTGGGATTGAGAAACTCTGATATCACATATACACTGACATGCTACAAATGCAGATGTCCAGGACTCTTTATGTTTTCCAGTCATAATATGTCTGAGTGTGAGCAGCCATCTGCCATGACCAACTGGGGATTTGAGGATGATTTTGTGAGGTATTTAAATGACCGTATCAGGGCAGGTCTAAATGTATTCCTCACACAGAAAGCTCAATATTATGGCTCAATATTCAAGCATATTGAGCCATGTTTGAATGATGTGTAAATGCAGTCCCAACACAAAGATAAAATCTATCCCTCAGTGGGCTCCTAATAATGTCCCTGTCAGCTGATGCATGACATGGCTGCAGAAAGGTGTGGCATACAGATCACTCACCCAGCACAATGCTCTGTTCTTTGAAGTTATTGTCCTTCAGCACCTTTATGACTTGTTTGCCTCCTGTCTCGGGGTCAGTCCATCTACCCACCTCACAGCCTTTTATGTCATATCTTTAAAATCAAAATGTCCATGATAGCGTTCATCAACACACCAAAACATAGTCAGCCATAGCTACAGGGAGTACCTGTTGTTGATTCTGTCATGAGGATAAAACACACTCTGCATCACAATGAAGTACTTCTGGAAAACACAACAAACAGCATAGCACTCTGAGTACGGAGTTCCTTTCAGTGGATCCACAGATAATTCATTGAAAATACCTTCAGTTGGTTTGGAATAACAATCTTGTAGATTCCTGGGGGGGGGAAATAAGGATTATCTCCATAATTCAGTTACAGTTGGGGCTTAAATAGAAGATTATTGGCTTCATTTTGTATTAGTAAGATGGCTTTGTTTCACAAAAAACAATGTTTTGATGAAACAATCTGACTTTAGCTACTTTTAGACTATCTAGGTGATTTTTTTTATACAATGTTAACTACACAAACAAGTCAGGATTCTTCTTTTCCTTTCATGTTTTCCCTTCAGGGGTCGCCACAGCGAGTCATCTGTTTCCATCTAGCCCTATCTTACACATCTTCTCTTACACCAACTACCTTCATGTCCTCTTTCACTTCATCCATAAATCTCCTCCTTGGTCTTCCTCTAGACCTCCTGCCTAGCAGATGAACAAGTCAGGATTATTGTATGGAAATCTGGTTGGATTAGAATAAATGGATTTCATCCATTCCCCTTTGGTTTGGGGGAGCAGATTTAATTTCTAGGAATAGGAAGATAGTCTCCCAAAACAATAAAAATCAAAGATCCAAACACAGAAGACTAAGTTGAATCAGTCAGATACTGTAGAAACGTGAAAGTAGATGAAACATTAATAGTTTACAACTGAAAATATGGTGTAATAGAAAAATCCTTCATGACTCTAAGAGCATTAGTTAAAGCAAACAAATGTTTAAACCCTGTTGCCAGGGCAAACAAACCGCCATTATTTAAACAGAGTGTTTCTTCTTCTAGTTTCTGTGAAAGAAGTCTTTGACATTCATGGCAGTATCTCAACAATTTGGGCAGTGACAAGAGAAGCTGACTTCTTCTGCCCTATAGAATGATTTGGGAGATCTCTGGGTTTCTCTCCCATTGTTAGATAGACGAATGAATGAAATATGTCCTCAAAAACATTGAAGAAGTGGATTAAAATAGTATTTAAAGAGGTTCCTACCTAGAAAGCGCACTAGCAGTGAATGAGGGTATTTCTCCAAGTGATCCATGTAGTGTCGCAGGTTGGAAAGGAGAAACCTAACTTCTCGCTTGCTCTGGGTTTTCAGAAAAAACCTTTTGTCATATCTACAAACAAGATATTGCACACAGAAGAATACCAGCATTTATCCACAAAAACTTTCTCGGATGAAATGACAATTTTGCAGTCAAATAATGAAAAAAAAAAATCTCCATGTATTTATGTGCTCTGCTCACGTGAGAAAGAAATCTGCCTTGCTTTTGGAGTTGCTGATAAACTGAAGGTAGTTGGCTTTGGGGCAGAGAGAATTTATAAATTCCTGCTCACTGATGTCCAAGGAATGTCTCAGTGTAGCAAACACTGGTGCTGCAAATGTATGCATCTCAAACCCCTGGATGGAAAAATATACAAAGAAATCCTGAATGTGTTCATGTTTCTTTCATTCTGCTTATGATTTTCAGAAGCAAAATCATACAGAATGCTGTAGGTGGGAATGACCTCCTACCTCAAGGAGTTGAGTACCCTTTGTCTTGAAATGTTCATCTGTGAGTGTATTCTGTGCAATAAGAGTAAATGTTTATTATTAACTTCATTAAACTGACAATACAGCAACATTTCCAACTTTTCTTCCTACCTGGCCTTCTGTGTTAGATGTGGCCTGAATGCAGGCTTGCATGCCTTCCTTCATCATGGAAGTCAGAGAGTAAAATTCATGTTCAGTGTTGATTTCGAAAACCCCCACCATCCTCCATCTCTGTGTCAGCTGCCACCAGCGTGCTCGCCTGGCAGCTCTGGTTCTGCCGGCAGAGCTTTTCCCTGCCATCTGTCACAGTATGCACACATTGTTATGAAAATCTATGAGGGGAGTTAAGTAATTATAATAAGTACAGTATGGCAAATTTTCATATTCATTCATTTAATTTTATGGGAATATTCTCAGAAAAGAATGATTAAAAACATATTTCTCTATAATTTGAAAAATGTTGCCCTGCGACAGACTGGCGACCTGTCCAGGGTGACCCCACCTCTCGCCCAGAACGTTAGCTGGAGATAGGCACCAGTACCTCCCAACCCAACTATGGACAAGGGCGTAAAGAAAATGGATGGATGAATGGAAAGAGTTTTGTTTTTATTTTCAGTTGCCCCTGGAGAGTTAAGCTGATATGAAAAGACCCTCAGATTATAAAGTTTATCAGCAGAACATAGAAAACTAATTGTGATATTGATAGCTGGGAACAAAACAGACTTGATAAGTTGTCAGGGTTTAAATCAGCCTAATTCTAGAAAGCAGAGCTCTCATTTCACTTGTGCTCTCAGTCAACAAGTAGTGCTTAGTTTGCACTTACATTACTTCTTTGTCCAGTTTTTATTTGTCGTATTAATACTTATTTAAGATTACATTCTTTTGTTTACCTCAGTGATATGTAGATATTGGTTCAAATGAAATGTTATATTTCTACCCATTATCTTTACTAGGCTGTGTTTTCCTCTATCTCTTAGCTGTTTGAATCCTCTTACATACACAGCACACACATAGTGCACACAAGCAGAGCTAAGGTTAAAGGAAGTGACACGTTAGGAAACGCCCTCTTTAGGGCTTAGAGGCTAACAAAAGGAAATAGAAATTGCTTGGTGCCATTTTGCTGTAGTCTCCTTTAAGGAGAATATGAAAAATGGACCTACGCTGCATTTTAGTCTTAATAAATGGGACTCTTAAATTCAACTGACTCTTCTTGAACCTCATTCATTAAGAACCTAAATGGAGAAAAGATCATTCTCCATAGCTGCTTATACTTGTCATTGTGTAAAAATAAAAGGATATTTCTATATCTCTTTTCTAAGTCCTCAGGTTATCTGACGTGATATCCAATGAGACTGGCTGAGTTCTTGACATCAAAGTTATTTAAAGAGAACAAAAAGCAGTGCAGCCTGAGAAATGGATCTGGAGCCATAAAAGGGAGCACAGAACAGGCAAGACAGGAAGGAACCAGTCTTATAGTAGAGATTATTTCTTTCAAATGTTAAATTCAACTGTTGCACCAGTTACACAACACCGTCTACTCAACACCTAACAGCTACGCCATTCATTATTTGAAGATCCAGGGCTGTGGTTTACTGGAAGAAAGAGGCAGGACACCTCCCCAATCAGCTGAAGGAGAGTTGACAGAAACAAAGATAAGGACAAAAACTTAGAAAGTAAATTTAGAGGAAATACTTCCTGATAGGTTTTATTTTTTGTATGTTAGCTGGAGAAAAAATTCAGTTCAAAGAAAGACTGCTATAGCTTGAACAAACTCAAATTTTTAACTCTGAAAGCAAAACTGGTATGAGTCATTCCATAGCTTAAAGAGCAGACTCATCAATACACAAAGACATGATTTATCTTGATCCTAGCTGAGGACAAACCATGGATTCAATGGATTCTTGCAGATCCTACCTGGGATTCTTGCTTTGACTCTTTGCTAAAACACACCAGTTGAACAGCTAATGTGTACCAGCGTCATGCTTCCAGATGTGTCTTGTCTCTGTGAAAATGACATTTACTCATTCCAGGCTAGTCAGACGAGCCCTGCAGGGTGTGTCCCATTCAAAATACAAGGTGTGTGTACAATGAAGGAAAGAGAAAACTGGTTCTTCAAACTATTGAAGAAGTGGGGGGGGAGGGGTGAAGCATAGCTGTGGACACTGTTGGCATTAACTAAAGCAGGAAAATATTGAGAATATTAATATTGAAAATATTGAGAGTTTTGATGAGAATTAAAGGAAGGAATCATATTTCTAAATCACTTTGCACATATATGTAAAAACATATATTTTAGATGCACATTTTAAAAATATGTTACAAATATACAAACACTTTTCTTACGATGTGCTTTTTGTAATATTTTCAAATAGCGACTGTGTATATTTTTTTAAACCTTAATAAATCTGTTTAAAATGCCATTTACTTTTTTGTTTAATCATAAACAGTACAGTACATATACAAACTTAGGTTTGTTTCAGAAATATGCATCTTAGAAAGTTTATTCTGATTATTGAAACTTAATTATAACATTAAGTTATTATGATTGTCATAACTTCAGTATGTCAGAGACTTTGATATTATGAGGCTTTTGTTATAACTCATTTTTCGCTGTTTTTATCTTATATATAGTTTTGCAGTCTAAGCAAATCAAGATGAAAGAGGAAGCCAGGAAGCAAGTTTTACTCTGTCTGTTTTTACTCATCTACTCCTGCTATTCTTCCCGTCTTCTCCGTTGTCTGCTCCTGGATTTCATGGTTATGTTCCTTTTTTGCGCATCTTGGATTTTTATGTAAATTTGTTCTTTTTTTTTTCATTAAAATTATCATCAAAACTCAATGTCCCACACAATTATAATAAACCAAAATTTTAATTAAAGCATATTGTGATCACAGTGATATTTTAAATATATCACTTTAACTTTGGGAGATGGGAGCTTTAACTCCCATCTCCGGCAGAACTTTGAACAAGTTCCAGGAGAGGTGGGGGACATTGAGTCTGAATGGACCATGTTCCGTGCCTCCATTGCCGAGGCGGCTTATCGGAGCTGCGGCCGCAAAGTTGTCAGTACCTGTCGCGGCGGCAACCCTCGAACCCGTTGGTGGACACCTTCAGTGAGGGATGCTGTCAAGCTGAAGAAGGAGTCCTATCGGACCTTTTTGGCCTGTGGGACTCCAGAAGCAGCTGATGGGTACCGGCGGGCGAAGCGGCATGCGGCTCGGGTGGTCGCTGAGGCAAAAACCCGGGGGTGGGAGGAGGTTGGAGAGGCCATGGAGAAAGACTTCCGCACGGCTTCGAGGCGATTCTGGTCCACCATCCGGCATCTCAGGAGGGGGAAGCAGTGCAGCACCAACACTGTTTATAGTGGGGGTGGTGGTGCTGCTGACCTCAACTCGGGACGTTGTGGGCCGGTGGGCGGAATACTTCGGAGACCTCCTCAATTCCACCAACATGCCTTCTGTTGAGGAAGCTGAGCCTGGGGACTCTGGGTCGGGCTCTCCAATCTCTGGGGACGAGGTCGCCGAGGTAGTTAAAAAGCTCCTTGGTGGCAGGGTCCCGGGGGTGGATGAGATCCGCCTGGAGTTCCTTAAGGCTCTGGATGTTGTAGGGTTGTGTTGGCTCACGCGACTCTGCAATATCGCATGGACATTGGGGGCAGTTCCCCTGGATTGGCAGACTGGGGTGGTGGTCCCCCTGTTCAAAAAGGGGGAATGGAGGGTGTGCTCCAATTACAGAGGGGTCACACTCTTAAGCCTCCCTGGTAAGATCTATTCAGGGGTCCTGGAGAGGAGGGTCCGTCGGATAGTCGAACCTCGGATTCAGGAAGAGCAGTGTGGTTTTCGTCCTGGTCGTGGAACACTGGACCAGCTCTACACCCTCAGCAGGGTCCTGGAGGGTGCATGGGAGTTCGCCCAACCGGACTACATGTGTTTTGTGTACTTGGAGAAGGCGTTCGACCGTGTCCCCAGGGGGACCTCGTGGTGGTTCTCCGGGAGTATGGGGTACCGGGCCCTTTGATACGGGCTGTCAGGTCCTTGTTCGACCGGTGTCAGTCTGGTCCGCATTGCCGGCAGTAAGTCGGGCTCATTTCCGGTGAGAGTTGGACTCCGCCAGGGC